CCCCAAAACCCCAAAACCCCAAAACCCCTTATTTAGAAAATAATATGGAAAATTTAAAAATGAGGAACAATACAGAACTCATCTCAGATTTCAACATTACTCGTTCATCGAATAAGTTAAGGTATTTCAGTTTTATAGTTTCTTGAGTTATATTATGTTATAGAATACTTAACACGAATGAAAGTGGGTATGGGCATCAACAAATCAGAAGTCCAGCCATCTATACCGTTAAAGACTTCTTCATAGACAAATATAAAGTTAGCAACAAAGCCAAGAGATGTAAGCTAGTGCATTCCCTTTGGGTTTTGACTTATTTGGATTAGCCACTCAGAGCAGTTTGATGAAAAGAGGCACGAGGAGAAGGAATATTGCACTTGCAAGTAAGACACACCACAATATGTCTTATATGCAAAATAGGTAACCAAAATGCTCTAGTAAAATCAGAAGCAGGTAAATTTTAGATTAAAACAGCTAAAATAACAAAAATTTGTTGTGTTCAGTATAAGCTTAGATTATAGGAGAGCGCCTAAAAAGTAAGAATGATAGAGACAGATCACATCAAGGATTAAGCGAAGAGGCTTCTCTAATACTAAATGAAAGCTCCAGATTCAAAGTAATCTTTGGTAACCCCTAGGCTCGGAAAGTTCAGAAACAAGGTTTTAGAATACTTTCCAATGGTAATGAATCTGTGATAACTTTTTCCAAGTTATCAAGAGCAAAGAAGAGATTGGCTTCACAACTAATCAAGAAAGGACTTGACAATAAGTTTTGATGAGCCACTCCAATGGTTAACACTGATTTAAATGATAGTCCAGCAGTTAAAGTCAAAGACGAGAATCCACCTATCCAGCCTTCAAAGCATGATATATCTTTAGAAATCGAGTTAGATGTTTCTGACGTTCCTCATAAGCCCAAAGAGCCTCCAATATTTGAAAATAAAATAAACTTAAAAACTCAGTCTGGGAACTCATTCAGTCAGGCTTCTCTAGCTCCAAAGGTGAAGACTAGGACTATTTTCAGCAAGAAGAACAAGATCCGTAAAAAATTTGCAAAGATTAGGTCGTACAACAACCTTGAGAGAGACAAATCAGAGCGGATCAAGGTCATGGAGAAGAAGAGAAGGCTAATGATTAAAAGTAATTTCATGCTAATATCCCAGACTTGAAAAGAATCCCCCAGAACGTGTCCAAACTTAATATTTCAGAGCCAGGCTTAGCTTCATTTGATTATCTGAGGAAGGAGACAACCAAATCGGTATTTAGAATTGAGGATCTGGTATAGAATTTGAAAGCACAGCTGGTGAACACATCCAAACGAGTGAGAAGAGCCAAGGTTTGCCCTATTCGTGATTTTAGAAATATTAGGCACAAAGATTAGGATGGGAGAAAATCCAATTGGGCCATTGTCACAAGGTAGATCAAGAGGTCTTGGAAATGTATCAGCTAAGCAATAACGCTTTGGGATAGAGTGTTGATAATAATGTACTATATTCTATTCAAATCTTAGCTTACTCTAATGGAATGTACATAATATATCCGTGATTTACAATTTCAATTATGTTCTATTACTTGGGGTTTTGGGGTTTTGGGGTTTTGGGG